GTCTCTAAGTATGATAAAGTAGGCTTCGGTTGCTCCAAATGAAGATTTACTGATATGTTCGAAGTTCTCAACCTATTCTTTCTTTCACCCTGGATATATTTATTGTAACTGTTTTTGTTAATGGCCATTAGATACTTCTTTTAATGGAAGCACTTTTCATTTATGGAACTAGAAGGGAAAACGTTTCTCTAGCTGCATTCCTCATATGCTTTACTTATATAGGTGAACTTCCTATTACATTAATCCACTGGCATAAATCTACTGGCATATGCTGGATGCCATCCTTAATGTTTTAAATACCAGTAAAATACATACATACATACATACATACATACATACATACATACATACATACATACATACATACATGTTGTGATGTAATCTTGCTTTTTTTTTGAATTCATGGGTCATTTTTTACATTTATTTTGGATCAATAAAAATAATATAGTGATCAGTTTTATTGTCAATAATATGAATTGTATAGGAATTGTGCAATTTACTGGTTAGGTCTTCGTTCAGAAAGTAATCTTAGTTTGGGATTGTATGTATGTATGTATGTATGTATGTATGTATGTATGTATGTATGTATGTATGTATGTATGTATGTATTGCATATATACATAAGCAAGCCATGAAGCAAACAAGCTATCCCAAACTAAGATTACTTTCTGAACGAAGACCTAACCAGTAAATAGCACAATTCCTATACAATTCAGATTATTGACAATAAAACTGATCACTATATTATTTTTATTGATCCAAAATAAATGTAAAAATGACTCATGAATTAAAAAAAAGCAAGATTACATCACAACTTAAATCTTTGTCTATAAAAATGCTGAAACTATGCCATGATAATACTATACAAATATACAGAAAATAAATAATTTAGGCAACAGATGTTATTATCTTACCCTACAAAATATCTTAAACTTAACTTACATTTACCATATAGTACATTTATGGCCATTCAGAACTTTCAGAGGATAAAAGGGCAATCAAATTCAACTATTCAAGACAATTAATAATGAAATCACAAGACTTCAGTTGCCTTATGGCTCTCTGCTAGATCTGGCTTTATGTCCTGGATCTGCTGAATCATCATCTGACTGGCAGCTGATAGCAAACAGCACTGCTCTTAAAACACAGAACATTCAGTCTCATATGACTATAGTGTTTCTAGCAAAACAATAAGATTAATTCATACATAACTACAAAATTACATTTTCACGGCAACTTACGGAAACTTCTAGCTAGTGGGACAAATGCCCTTTGACAGGTTGTACAGAAGTCCGGCTGTTTTTGATTCAGACCCTGAATAATCATATTCTAACAAAGTCAATCATCCCCTTTATTTGCATCATCACATTGCTTTTATCTTATCCCAGTCCATCAATAAGATAAGTTCAGTATTTACCTCTTTAAGTCAACACTACCCCTGTTCAGATTCATGATATATAAAATCTGTTAATGTTTTATCACTTCGTATTCTAGATACAAAGCTATGAGACTTGGATTTTTATACATAATATACCTGCAAGATGTAGAAGTATAAGCTACCAATATCATACAAATTGAAGTATTTGGTCTTAAATACTGCAGATAGTTTAGAGTAAACATAGGACTGCAAGATGTGGGTGTTTACTTTACACTTAGAGCTCTTCTGCAGGCATGTGTGTATCCTTCCCATACATGCCCTCTACCCTTCCCTAAAGATAGAAAAGGGTGACAGGAAGAAAATACTGCTCAACTTTGCTTTGCAGTGAACTGTTTTCTGGATACATGAATGTTTAGACAAAATATAACAAAAAATCTCATCACATGATTAGCAATCAGCAATCTCTAAATTCAGTGATTTATTTTGTTACAATAACAATATTTTACTTTCATTCAAAAATTTACTGTTGCTTCTAAAATGTTGTTTGCTTTGCACAATCCAAAGAGTTATTCAAATGGTGTATTTGTATTGTTTAACTAGAAACTCTTTTCCTCTGATTATATCACCCACTACGTAACAAACTACTTTTGAAACCCAATTTTGAAGTTCATTTGAGTACAATTGGTAAAGAACAGTTTGCTGTTCAAATAAACATTTTATAACTCTTGAATATTAAGAACTAGATAAATACTACTTGGAATCCTGGCAATTTCTAGAAAAGAAAACTTTTAATTAAGCTTGGTACCCACTAAATATACTAGATTATACTAGATTATACTTCCCATAATTCCAGTCAAGAAGTTGAAAATTATGACAATTAATGTTCTCATTAAAATGCCCCTCTTGTATTCATTCTCTAACATAAATAACATAAAGTTTAAAAGCTATTCATAACTAGTGTGGCAATTCTTATCAGATTTAGTGGGGAAAAAACTGCTTGTGTCTATGAGTCAGAAACAACCCAATAAAATACGCCTTTTCTTTCTACAGAAATTTATGAAATTATTAAAATGTGGGAAATATTATTGCATTCCAGCTGATTTTGTTGTTTCAGTTCAACTTCCTTTGAACTTAAAACAACTGCTTTTGCGAGGATCCAGATTTCAAGTCATCAACATACAAAATGAATCACATATTTCCCATTTTCTGAGCTTTGCATTATGTAAAGGAAACAAAAAAATTTAGCCATGGATTCCACTAATACAGATATTCTTCAACTTGAAGAATACTGAAATACAACTGAAAAAAGTGAAAAAAGCACTAAAAAAGTGACTTAAAACCATTTTTCATAGGTATGACCGTTACAGCATGCTCATGGTCATTTGATCAAAATTCAGACATTTGGCAACTGACTCATATTTATAACAGTTGTAGTATCCCAGGATCATGTGATCACCTTTTGCAACCATCTGATAAACAAAGTCAGTGGAGATAGATTCACTTAGTAACGTGTTACTAACTTAACAATGCAATGATTAACAACTGTGGCAAGAAAGGTTATAAAAGGGACAAAATTCATTTTTGAATTAAGCTGTTCCTGACATTCAACCCAAATATTCCCTGTAACTTAAAACCATTATTCCATGTGCCACCATTATTTATTGTGGAATGCTTCTAAAGAGAGATCACAGAGAAAACAGCTATTATTTCCCCTTTCTGTTATATTTTATAAGTGCTAAAGATTTTCAGCTCCCTTAAGTCTCTCTTTGCAAGACTGATGCTTAATCTTCAAATTTGTATTTGAATGACTCAGTCACTGTTAATCCAGTTTTGTGGCTTTCTAAGGTGCATACATTCAGAGAGAAATGTAGGGGAGGGGGGAAATAATCATCCAAGATTATTTAGCTGACCTCTTACTTCAAGTGGGCCTTTAATTTTAACACTTCTGTGGAAAGGATCCTAAGAAGTTTATTGTTTAATTACATTTGTTACATTTTTACTTACAACTGTTTATATAGTTAAACTTCTCTGAAATGATTATTCTGACATGTGACAAGTAAATAATTGCAGCTAATAATAAACTTACCCCATGAATTGGATTTGTATACTATACTAGGCTAGAAATAAGGTCGGTTAGCTTGTGATTCAATGTGTTGAGTGATCACAGCCAAGAACTGGAGTAAAATGCATATACACACACACAAGTAAATGTGCACGTCGAAGTATTTCCAGCCGTACATTTGATTCCAACACACGCTTCAGTGCTGCTTGGAGTCACGGACATGCACAAAAAAACCCCACTACTGGAAGCACTTCGCTGCCCGAATGAATGCTACTGCCAGAAATTGAAAGTAAAAAAATTGATTATGGTGGAAATGTTCCATCTGCTATATATTAATATATGCAGTTTCTTTTTACCATGTGCAATGACAATAAATTAAAGTAAAGCCCAATTGGGATATATATTTATTTATTTTTATTTATTTAGTTTGTCAAAGATGTACGAGGTAACAGGTATAAGTATAAACATGGACACGAGCACATGAAATAAGTACAAACAACATGTTTTGTACTCATTTCATGTGCTCATGTCCATGTATATCCTTATACCTGTTATCTCGTACATCTTTGACAAACTAAATAAATAAAAATAAATAAATATTAAGCGTTATAGACTCTTCTGCGGTACACTAGATTGCCGCAACTACAACTCTCAGAATTCCCAGTCAGTCTCGAAAATAGAACCAACTTCATAACACGTTATTCTATATTGTTAATTGTGATCCAAAGTCTTAGNATGGTTTGCATGCCCGGAGAGATGGCTCTGTGTGCTACTTCTGGCACACGTGCCCTAGGTTTGCCATCACAGATCTATGCGATGAAGACCATCTTCGCTTCTGGATTGAACTTGAAGGTCTGGAAGTTTTCAAAAAGAGATTGGACAACCAATTGTTTGAAATGATGGAGGGCCTCCTGTTCAAGCAGGGGTTGGACCAGAAGACCTCCAAGGTCCCTTCCAACTCTATTATTCTATGTTCTATGAGTCAGTTGCCAATCATCTAAATTTTGATTGAATGACCAACCATGAGAGATGCTGCAATGGTCATGTTACTTTTTCCAGTGCCACTGTAACTTTAAACAATCACTAAATGTTGTAAGTCGAGGACTACTTGTAGCTATTCTCCACACATAGGAAAAGTCTATAGCTATTGCAGCAATGACTTTATTTGAAGCTCCGTAGCTAATCCTGTAGATCACACCAGCAATTTCTCATTGTGTTTTATCAGTTGGGGTCCGGCTTAGGTATGCATTAATCCTGCCCTATTTTACACTCATTATTTTTTTTCCTTTTTCCATATTTTTTCATCCTCCTCTCCTTCATTTTTTTTGTTGCATTTTGTAGTTTTAGCAAAAGGGAAAGGAATTTTTCCAGCTGAATTTCAAATATCTGAAACACCAAAATCTTCTGGGCATTTTAGTACAGCCCGATGGCAGGGATCATGCCTTCCACTGAATATATTTTTTTCCTATGCAGAAAGAAATAGATTTTTCCTTTTAACTAAAAGTATGTGTTAGTGATATGACAGAGGTGATATCTACGTATCTATGTGTGTTCTGAAAGGTACCATTTCCCAGAATTCGTCAATGTCATATTGCCAAGATGCCCGAAGATTTCCTCATTCGCAGAATCCATCTCCTGGAAGCAGCAGCCCTCGACCTTCTGTAATAGGACGTATAGGCCAGCGTCCAAGGGGTGATGGTCAGGATTGGGATGCAGAATCTTCCAAGTAAGAAGACATCTGGGAATATTATGATTATTACAAAAGGAACATGTTCCTCCTCCTCCTCCTCCCCCCTTCCTGATTTACATTATTTAGTTATTGATTTGTAGGTCCTTCAACAATAGTTTAAATGAAATTATATCTAAACTATAAATATAGTTTATCCGAAACACCAAATCTTCTGAGCATTCTTTGTTCTTGTTCTTATTTGTATCAATTATATTGGTGGAACAACACAGTGAAATAGTTAAATAGTTGAACAACACAGTGAAACAGAACATACCTGTAAGTCTGGAGTAATTAAAATTTCCTTCTGCTGCCATTGGATTAGGCTAGGATTCACAAAAGAAGACCGACAGATATGTCCCAGGATAATGTTGCAGGATCCTATCTGGGCTGGTTATGGGTTTAATCTTCTGAGCTTTTGGACCCATACTGGAGCCCATCTTCAGGGAACTTCTCTCTCACCAGAATGCTCAGAAGTCTAAACCTCTGGTTCCAGTTACCAACCAGATTGTAAAATAAGATTATTTGGAATGGTATTATTTCCTTTAATATAAGTATTTCAGTGTTGCTATTCCAGAAAATAATAAAAAAAATGCACAAAAGGCAATTCTATTTTTTTAAGATTTCATAAAAACAAGTATTTTCTTGTATGCAATTACACCCTTTTCCAGAAATTTGTATCATTGCATCTACAAGCATGCAGTGAATTCCCATTCTTGACCACATAGGTAGTATAAACAACTTGGGCATACAACGGAGCAAAATGTAGGATGAGCTATATAAAAGCTTAGTAGTGGAAGATGTAGATAAATAGTTATGTACCCAATGAGTGTGATGATCTTGACTATGAAGTCCTAATTGGGTTGGGCAAATGTAGAAGTCTTTGAAGTTGCAGTTATCTCAAGAAGCTTTATAGCCCAACACCAAAAAAAAGGTTAGTTGGTGGGAAGAGGGGAATAAGATTGTCCTGTGGCAGCATCCTAAATATGGAATTATCTTGCCCCAATGGATAAATTAGCTACAATACTAATATAATTTTATGCAGGCAGAAAGAAGGCTTTTGATTCTTCCTTGCCTTCAGTGGCAGTCAATTCTAACCTCTGCATTTTCTTTGACTTGTTAAGGTCTGTTTTCAATTCTATTTGATACATCTGTTTTTTTAGGAGGCTTTATAGTATTATAAACCATTTATAAAGATCTTGTTGACAAAAGATTTGTTTTATCCACAGGGGAAGGAACTCGGATGGAATTACATTAGATCCATCAATTGTAGTTTGAATAGAATAATTTTTTTTAAGGCCAGTTTTCCCATTCAGCCTGATTATTGGTTATTTTTATAATATAATACTGGCTATAGAAACATAGCGCCTTTTTTACATATATCATTGTTTTGTTTTGTTTTTCATAGTGGAGGCAGTGCTCACGGTAATGTAACTTCTAGAATATCCAATCCATCACCTTTGGATATGGGTCATGTTGACCTGCCAGAACTGGAAAATGTGGACACTTTGGAGTTACAGTTTCAACAATTTAGTCTTCCTCAGTTCTGTGTAGCCATTTTGGAACATGTGATACCTCTTCTTAAAACAGGTAACGTTTATTTTTAAATGAATTTTTGCTTACAGTAATTATATTTTACTTCCAACCATTTTTTTTCTACCACACAAAGAATAGGCTTGACATGGCAATCTGAGCGCTTTAGTTGTGAATCTAAGCACTCCCATTTACATTTTTCATATCTGTCTTAACAGTCGGTGTGAAAACTGTAGTGTTTTGGAAAATTTAAAACCTGTGTTTTGGGACTCTGCCTTATATTCAGCTTATCTCCTTTTAGTTTATGATTCTTTCTGCACAAAGGGAAGCTCAAAAGCAAGATAGAATAGCAACAGTTTTATTGTCTGTTTCAAACTTTTGTTTATAAAGGTGACTGATCCACCCAATATGATTGTATGGCATCTTTCCTTCATGTTGATTAGGGCATTCTACATGGTTCTTCCTTCCCTCTGCTTCTTTCCTTGTAGCAACCAATGAGCTTCACTTTGACAGATAGTTTATAAAGCTGGTTGAGGTTACTGTTTTATTTTAACATCGAGCTGTCTAGTTTTATTGTCTTTTACCATTTTACTTTAAGATTAAAAGAAAATATTTTGACAAATGGGATAGGGGAGATAGGGGAGCCGTTGGAGGGAATGGACTGGAAGAACATGTGGGATTTAATGGCTCCACTTTCTTGAGGCGTTGCAGGAAAAATGCCTTCTTTACAAGGTGTAATTTGTAACTAGCTGTTTGATAAAGTGGTAGCTGTTTATAATGTATTTTCATGTGGAGAGAAGAACTGAAGAAAGTAGCAGACTTGGTCGGAAGAATTTTCATACTGTTTTCAGCAGGAAGGGACTATCTCAAAAATTTAGAAACTTTAGAAGTTCCAGAACTGAGCAGTAAGATTGAGGCAATGGTTGATACCAATGGGTTTTTCGTTGTTGTAATGCCACTCTGTTTCTAAGGCTAGTTTGAAGAGTTGTTACTGATACATAAAACTGTCCCCAAGCATTCAATATCTGAAGTGCAGTCTTCTTTCTGAGTAACACTTCCTGAATTGCCTCTGAAGCTTTATTCTGGCTGCACACACAAAATGAAATTAGACAGAGAACTGTGAGTAGTTTATAGTGTGGATACTATTTGTGGAATGCCTTTGTCCAATTATTACCATATAGGCGTTCAGATTAAATGTTGATAGTTTGATTTTGAAATGTCGAGTGCCTAATTGGGTTTGAAAGGAAGGTTTTATATACACCCTTCTGTTATTTACTGATTTATGCTATTTTTTATTTCTCTTTTTACTTCTTATAATGGCACGGTACCCTATACTGAAAGCCTTTGTTAAAATATACACATGACCCTCATTTAGCATCTATTCATTCAACAATAATTCAAAAGTTACAGCGCTGACAAAAATTGACTTGTGACTGGTTCTTCCACTTACGACTGTCGCAGCGCTCCTGTGGTGATATGATAAAAATTCAAGCCAGCTCTTATTTACGGCTGCCCGCCCCCTCCTGCTGACCTTTGTCATCTTTACCTACCTTCTGCTACTTGTCACCCATAAAGCCCTCCATGGTAGTGGATCTGGGTACTTGAGAGACTGCCTACTGCCAATTACCTCCACACGACCTATTAGATCTCACCAATTAGGCCTCCTCCGAGTTCCATCTGCTGGTCAATGCCGACTGGCAACCACGCGGAGGAGAGCCTTCTCGGTGGNCTTAAAACCTGTATAAAAGGAGTAATATGAGAAAGGGATGAGCCTGCTGGCTAGAAAGATGAATTGAAACATTTCACTCTGCAACATTTTGTGGCAGATTTCATGCATATTTCTAGTTCCTCTTTCAATTCTCCCAGATCTGGTTCGAAATACCCATCTTCAAGTATATCAGCATATCCAGAAGGTAGTCAGAATCATAGCAAAAATACTAAAAAGCTGGGGGGGATTCCTATACCAGCAATTCCCACTATCCCCTCTCTACCTCAAAATGGACCAAGGATTTGTCACTGAAGAGTACATTCAATGCATTATTGTTGGCAGAGCAGGGGAGTGGGGTGGTAATTAAAAAGCTATAGTGGCAGGAATTAAGATGGGAATATTTGAAAGATTGACAGGGAATTGAAATTGACCAAAAATCAGGGCTTTGATTCACTATTTAAATGTATTTAATGATTGCAGGAAGGAGACACAAGTACTAATCCATACCTAGTTTATCTAATGCCTAGTGCCTATTTAAACATAAAGCAATTTTGAATCAATCTGAATTCAGTGTTATATGTTGTTGTAAAGTGTGTATATGGAAAGTTATTTTTTTTCTTCCAGATTCTAAATTGCACCCAATTATCAAAAATATGGGGGCAGTGGAAAGAATTCTTGCTTACTTTACTAAGTGTGTTGCTCAGGATGGCAAGGTAAATCTACTTGGATTTTTCTTTCAGAAGAACCATCCCAAGCCTCCAAATATTGTATGTTCAGTCAAATAATTTTAGATAGGAATTAAATATTTTCTGTTTGGAATATGAGGATTATTATCTCAAGATGGTGACTTAAACATGTGGAGTGCAATGAAAGGCAACTGCAGTGTCTAATTCTTTGATTCTATTATCACTTCCAGCTTGTAAAAAAAAAGCTAAATAAATCCTCATATAGAAACTTGCCATTTAAAACAGCATGTTTAAATAAGCAGAAGAAAGGAGCTAATATGGAACCCCAGACTCATGTGTCTTCCTCTTCCCTCTCCTCTTTCTATTTGATTAGGAAGCAGAATAGTTTGTTATAATTTAGCTGATCTTCAAGTTTAAAAAGTAGCAGTCATAAATGGCTATATCACAAATGGCTAAAGACCATTCTAAATTGTTACCTTATTTAGGAATTGATTCATTAAAAAATGCTAGGATTTCATTTCTTTTTCTGAAATACCCCATATACGAGGTCCATTTTCCTCATAGAAAGCTATATATAAAAAACAAAAAAACAAACAAACCATCAGCTTACCTTCCAGGCAGGAAGTGAAGAATGATGGAAATTAGGAAAATACTATTTTTTTTCTTGTCTACACTGGTACACTGTAATATCATTAGTAGCCATGTGCAAAGATAGGTGGGTCATGGCAGTGGGCTGAAGAAAAGTGAGGAGCTCAGAAAGGAATGGTGGTTAAATCCTATTGAAATTCAGATGGTACAGGGACTAGGTAATTTTATGTGGTGATTCTCAACTCATTGTGGCTCAAGGACTGCAGGAGTAGCCAAATTAGCGCCATCGTTTGTTAAATATTGAACAAAGTGTTTAGTTTTTCTTCATGATTTAAATGATGCCAAAACCGATCAAGCCCAGCTTCAGAGATCTTAGAACAATATTACTTGTATATCTAAAAATGGTTTGTTCAGTTTCATGATTACAATACAATTTTCCCAGCAGAAACTAATTTTGTAAATAAATTTAGAAGGGTTTTAATTAAAACATTAATAGAAACCCTCATTTAATTTAATTCTATTTATCTGTGAATTGGGGTAAAATATTAAAAGCCCTTGCAAATTTTAATCTATATTTGATGGTTTGTGCCATAAAAGCAAACAAAGAGGCTTGCTTCAAAAATGTGTCACAGATTATTTCTATTGCCTTCCTGTCTTTGGAATTAAATATTAAAATATGGGCTTTTTATGAGAAGTACATTCTCTGGATTTGTATGGACTAAAATAACGTACTGAAAGACATTACTGTAAACTTCCAAGGAGTGTTGATTTCAGAGAAGTTTCAGAATGCTCACTCAGTAGGATGCTACTACAGATTTTGCTTAACAAACCATAATTTCTTTTGTTTGATAGATCATGGATTGTATGATGTTGCCATGTCTTGCACTTTTGCGGAAACTTCTCTCTGCTGATCCAGTCAAACGTCTGTCATTGGCTTACCAGCCTTCTGTCTTGCTTGTGTTATTTAGAGGTAACATCATAAAAGCAAAATAAAAAGTGTAAAAAACATTTGTTTTTATATCTTTGAATTAAGCAATTAAATATCAGGAAAAATATCCAAGTATTTTGTTTCTAAAAAGCTGGATAGATTTGCATTTCCTAGCCTGCAGATTTAGGAGAAAAAATAATATTTCCCATATATCTTGTTGATAGATAAAAAAGAGTAAATACTTAATTTTGTTCTTTGAAAATTTGATATTTAGAGTCCCGAAAGTCTTTATGCTGTTAGAAAAAAAACATGTAAATGTCTCTTCTGTTTTCAGTTGCCTTGATATTCCAAGATTATGGTGCTATCAGGAGTGAAACTTCAGTATTACTTTGTCTACTACTTTTTGATGAAGCAGCAAGGAAAGAGATGTGGTAGGGTAATTTGTAGTGATTGGTTCTGTGCTACTTCATTATTCCTGCAAGCAAACTATCCCTTCTATTGCCAGCTACAATATATGTAAATTATAGACAACATTTATGCTTGTATATCATATGCATTCTCTCCCTCCCTCCCTCTCCCCCTCCCTCTCTTCCCTTCTCTTTCTCTCTTTTGCTTGTATTTATCAGATAGTAGACTATAAAGCAGTCGCTGATTGTGTCCTTGCCTTTCACTATAGCACTATTTTAAATTATATAGATGCAAACATAATAGTAACATGGTGACCTGCTGACATCTTCGAATAATCAAAACCCTATCATTGCTAGAAATATAATCAGACCTACTTTTCTGCTCACATTAGAGGAAATGTTTCAGGACCTTTTACCAAAAAAATCAATTGGTTGCAAGGTGACTAATTAAGATGTGCTAAGATAATAAATGCAGAACAGAAAGATGTAGCAGATGTTTCCATCCCATGTTAATTGCTGATGGATTAATAAAAAATTTGTACTAGAAACTCTTGCCACTAAGGTGTTGTTAAGGGTAAAAGCTATATTTTTAGTAATGCCGTTATTGCAAAATAGTTTTAGATAATATTGAAATAATAACTCTTCAAATGAAGAGTTGATCCAGATATTCAAACTCGCGTTCTCTTTCCAGTCCTAGGAATCATATTTAAGTCTTTTAGTTAAAATAAATTGTAGTTCTCTTTATAACCGGAAAATTGACCACTTTATTTTAGATAATCCTGCTGGTGGGATTGTTTCAAATACCTTTGGCAGAAATCACTTTATGTTCTATTTCAAGGTGGTCTATTTTATTAGCATCTTGTTCTTTCAGTTCGATACCCCCTCCCCTGAGTTGTTTTTGAAGAGGCACCTATACATTTTATACAAGATGTGAAATATTTTAAAAGTTATTTGAAAACAGGATTTTTTTTAAAAAAATATTTGTTTACTTAAAGATTTTGTCAGATGTGCATATTCTAGCTTACTGCTTACAAACACTTCTGCTTTGGGATGTTGTATGGAAAGGGGTTTTGCAAGCGAAGAAGCAGGAGGGCACCCAGTGGCAATGAGTGGCAATCTATCTGGTCTTTCATGATCAGACAGCCATATTGTGATTCTTTACGTTTTTCTTCTATCCTGCCTCCTGCTTCCCGGCTTTATATTGCTGATATTACAATACAATACAATACAATAGCAGAGTTGGAAGGGACCTTGGAGTCTTCTAGTCNCCCTGAGTCCCCCCAGGGAAAAGGGCGGCATATAAATAAACCTTCTAAATCTAAATCTAAATCTAATTCTCTCTCCTGGAGGTCACCATCCTGGTCTTGCCCAAAGAAATGCGTTCTTACTGCATTGCTCAGTGATGGAAATTCCAGTCCCAATTGCTGTTATTAACTGAGCACTACTTGTAGTAGTATTGTATAACAGTGTTTCATTTAGGAAATATTAAACATCTAAACGGCCTTTGGCAAGAAAAATGTTTAAGACTTCTAAGGTGCTGCTGGACATTTAGTATAGTGCAGTTTCATCTGAGCAACCAGCACCACAACGCATGGAGGGGAAATCTGTAATGATCCTTCTTTTAATACTTCTTTATTTAAGAAATCCTTACCAATTAACATATTGCATTATTCAGCAGGAAGGAACATGACTGCTTCAAGCCTTCTCTGTTTATCAATTCTCAGGTAGTAGGAGAATAACCATAAAAGTGTTGGAATTGGTTGCCGAAGACCTGCTACTTATTGTTGATGCTGTGTCTGAAGATGTTTGGGAAGACGAAAGTCTCTTTGGTCAAGAATTTGTGAGAATTTAAAATTATTCTATTTTAACCAGAATAATTTGCTTATTTATTTGTTTGCTAGTTATAGTTATGCATCACCATAATCAAGGACCAATTCCATGCAGTGATTGTAAGCTTATCTTAAATGTGTCATCTTTTTATCTTTAAGATAAAAAATATTATGTCTATTTTATCTCTGTTTTAAGCCTACCATTATGATGAAGGGTTTATAAACAATAATTTTTAAAAATTGAATGATACATTCTGTATTCTTTTTTTAACATCCAGTCATGAGTAAAAGTAAAATTACATAAAAAGTCATTGAGGGAGTTAAGAGTGATCATTCTCTCCGTGGTCCTCTTCAATTTCCTCTCCATTGTACTCTTGCAAGGTCCTCCGTGGTCCTCTTGCATGGTCCTCCATTCCATCTCTGTGGTCCTCTTCAATTTCTTCAATACTCTTCTTAAGAGTAGGAATATGCAAATAAATATGCAAGTTATGACAAAGTTGATTTTTTTTGTCTAGTTATCTAAAAAACTCCTTGAAACATAAAGTAACAAAGAACAAAAGAACATTCTTAATGGAAAACATCATAAACTAATGCATAAAATGCATTAGAAGTCCACATCACCTCAGCAATTGCGCTGACATGGTATTTAAAAAAAATAGGTTGGAACATACTTTCTTTGTAGATTTGTAATGATTAAAAAAAATCAATTGTTCAGGAATTTATTTTGGCATGAAATCAAAATAGAGCTCGGAGAAATACATGTTTGTGACTTTTATTTTGGTTAGCCAGCATAAATGCTATTCATTGATGGGAATATGAGATAGAAATTAAATAACTAAATTAAACAATGAATGAATTCTCCAGGGAGGCTTTATCTTCAAACAGTCCCTGCATTAGCAAGTGACTATTCCTGGCACCTGTTGGGAGTATTGATTTGCAACTTTTTTTGTTTCATCTACAGAAAGAAAAACTGACTGGAGTCCTAGATGCATTAGGTGAAATCATTACCTATCACAAAATTAACACTAGCTCAGAAAAACCTGAGCTTGCAGTAGTGCACCACAGGATGGCATTTGTTAGCGTTTCGCTTTTCACAGTTCGACTTCTGCAAGTATTGCTACCTGTAGAGAAGGTGAGATGTGCCCATTTCTTTACATCTCAAGGTTATGTTGGGAAAAATGCTTAAGATAGCATGCATTTAAATGATAATGTTTCAAACCGGTCAGTCCTAGAGGAGATCAACCCCGACTGCTCTTTGGAAGGCCAGATCCTGAAGATGAAACTCAAATACTTTGGTCACCTAATGAGAAGGAGGGACTCACTGGAGAAGAGCCTAATGCTGGGAATGATTGAGGGCAAAAAAAAAAAAGGGGACGACAGAGAATGAGGTGGCTGGATGGAGTCACCAAAGCAGGAGGTGTGAGCTTAAATGGACTCCGGGGGATGGTAGAGGACAAGAAGGCCTGGAGGAACGTTGTCCATGGGGTCACAATGGGTCGGACACGACTTCGCAACTAACAACAACAAATTTCAATTAGACGCAGATAAAGGGAAATACAGTGCAGAACTCTTAAAAACAAGCAAGAGCCCTCTTTCTTAGGGAAAGGTTTTTTCCTATTTCCCTCCAGGTCATCTCCCTGACTCTCTACAATATCAAACAACCTATAGCGGTGATGGTGAACCTATGGCACGTATGCCCATAGTGGCACGCTAAGCCATGTAGCCCGGCATGGACAGCCTTGCCTATTTGTCTTCCGGGCTTATGGTGCACATGCACATGCGATGATCAGTTGTCCTTCACATGCGTTGCATTGCCCAAAACCGGTGTGTGCATGTGCTCCGGCCAACTGATTATTGGGTGCATATGCGTGCCAGAACCCGGAAATTCGGCTTATCCGGAGCGCAATTCCTTCATGTACACAGCAGTGTCAAAAACCGGTGTGTGCATGCATGCCGGCCAGCTGATTGTCTGGGCGCGCATGTGTGCTACAAGCCAGAAATTCGGCTTTTCCGGAGTGCGGCTCTGACAAGCATGTACATGGGGGACATTTCCGCACAACCTTTTTGGCACTCGGTGCCAAAAAGGTTTGCCATCACTGACCTATAGCATCTAATATATTACTAGAAGTAGTTGATGTTCTGTTTAGCTTTGAAACATAGTCATCAGTAGCTGGTCTTCATTGTTTTGCTTTTGTCATGCTAAGTAGTTGCTTTGACTTGGTGTTCAAATTTTGTACTCCTTATAGTGATGTTTTCAATTGCAGTTGTCAAAGAAAAGCCACTTGATGTTGCTGTTCATGCAGAATAGATTTCTGGTCTGACTTACAGACCTTGTATTGGTGATGTTGTGCAATAAATAAGTGGAAGGTATTGCAAAACAGCATTTTAAAGGAACAAGTATAAAAATGACAAGTGCATTGTCTGCCCCCTAGTGGCTGGATAGGAATTTTACATCTTAAATGACTGCTACTAATCTTGAGATTTTTCTGATAATTGTCAATTCTGTTGTGTCTGAGAGGTTATTCTTCCGTCTGATTTCAATTAGAAATTGGTACAGATCATCTTTGACATGCAACCATTCATTTAGCAACTATTCAAAGTTAAAGTAGCATTTCAAAATGGGTTAGGACTTTCGACCCATCCTCACACTTACGACTGTTACAACCTCCTCACTGTCTCACAGGTGCTTGGAAAACGGCATATATTTCTGGTGGTTGCAGTGTCTCAAGGTGATATGATTGCAATTTCCAATCTTCCCAGATGGCTTCCACCAAGCAAAGGCAATGGGGAAGCTGAATTCATTTAACAATCATGATTTACTTAAGAACGGCAATGATTCACTTAACAATTTTAGCACAAAAAGTCATAAAGCCATGTGCAATGTCCTTCCTTAGCAATGCAAGTTTTTGACCAATTGTGGTCAAAAATCAAGAACTATTTATAATGTTAAAAAACATTGATGGTCACTTGTATAATTTTACTGCTCTATATTCCTGCTTAAAAATTGCTTTGCTGCATTGCGAACGTCAGCTGTTATAGATATCATTTGTATGTTTGTAAAATATATAATTGTTCTTTTTTCCTTTACAGAACCGTTTAAAATAATATGTACAGGTAGCCCTCAACTTATAACCACAGTTGAGCCCAACATTTCTGTTGCTAAAGGAAACATTTGTTAAGTGAAAAATGCCTCATTTTACGACCTTTCTTGGCACAGTCCTTAAGTGAATAATTCCAGCTGTTACACTAGTAACACGATTGTTAAGTGAATCTGGCTTCCCCATTGATTTTGCTTGTCAGAAGGTCGGAAAAGGTGATCACATGACTCCAAAACACTGCAACTGTCAGAAATATGAGTCAGTTGCCACGCATGTGAATTTGATCATGTGGCCATGAGGATTCTGCAAAAACTCTGAGATACTTTTTTCAATGCCTTATAACTTTGAATGTCATTAAATGAACTGCTGTAACTGCTGTATTTGTGATGATAAATTCATTCCATTTGATGACGCAATATAATTTATGAAGCAGCTGAAATAGTTAGTAAAAGAAGGCCAAAATAGAGATTTACCTGGTGGGCGCAAAAATAAGCAAAATGTAAATATTTCTTGGGGGGGGGGATTATTAAAATAGCTTTTTGGGGTAAGAGAACTCAGTTCCCAAGAGATAGATTTTAGATCTTTAAAATAATCTAGAAGAAAGCAATAAGAGATTAAAGATCCTGGTATATGCCTGTCCCAGGAAATCGAATAATTACCTTCTTAAATTAAGCATAGTTTATTGGGTTTGTTTTTTTTTACAAACATTCCACATAAAACCTGGGTTACTACCTTAGCTGGAGGTGCTGAATTCTAAATGTATTTTTAATTCTTTTATCTCATATTAACTATTTTAACAGTAGTTAGATTCAGATTTAGTTTATTTGTATGCCGCCCTTCTCCGGGAGGGACTCAGGGCGGCGAACAACTCCAAAGGGGAAAAGGGGACACAGACACAATACACAAAATATACAAAAGTCATACAGCCATACAAGTCGAGAGGGGAGGGGAACTCATCAACCCCAGGCCTGCCGGCACAGCCAGGTTTTGACGGCTTTCTGGAAGGCCTGGAGAGAGGTGAGGGTCCGAATCTCCACGGGGAGTTCATTCCAGAGGGCCGGAGCTGCCACAGAGAAGGCCCTCCCCCGGGTGGTCCCCAGGTGGCATTGGCTGGTGGACG